TTTCTCTGTGTGTATGACTCCTCTCTATTTCACTTTTTTGCCCTCTCTCTATCCGTATCCCTCTCTTTCTTCCCCCTCTCTTTCTCTCTCTCTCACTCTCTCTCTCTTGCTCTCACTGTCTATGTCCTTCTTCCTCCCTCGGTGTTTTCTTCTTCCTTTTATCTCCCTTTTCCCCCTTCCACTTCAATTCTCTCTCTCTTTCTCTATCCCTCTGACGTTGCTTACTGTGTCTTTTTTTGTGAACCTCAGAGGTTCTTATTCATTTTATTGTCTCTGACTCAGCTTTATTGATTATGGCAGGGTTTTTTTTTTATTTCCCCTTAATCAGGTGTAAAAAGTACATGAATTCACGACCAAAATATATACTGTAAATAAATTATCTTCAACCTAGTTTGAATTTCTCGTCTGTGGAGCATCAGCAGCACTTACTGTGGCTCAGCCAAGAGAACGCTAGACACGGATCAATCGCGTGACAAGCACCGATATCGCCAGCAATCCGCTTAAGTCAGTTTGAGTATTTTTCAAACACCAGAGACTAAAAAAACCCAGTTTTTGTTGCGTTGATCCATCAGGACTCATGAAAAGCATGAACATTAGAATACGGGGTGCCCACTACGGATGGGATCGGCCGATCGGGCCGGTCACCCGTCTCGGTCGCCTAAAAAACGAACGTGTTTGTTTTCATTTTCAGGCGACCGAGTCGGGCGATCGGCCCGATCCAGCCGTAATGAGCACCCCGTATTAGCCTTGAGAATAGCTTTAAACTGCACTTTAGTGATGTTGAACGGGGCACCTTTGATAGAGCTTTGGGACGGTGTAAAAATCAAAAATTCTCAGAATTTGAACTAAAGCGGATTGTTAGCGACAGCGACAGCGACAACGACAACGTCAATCGTCATGAAGAGTTGGTGCTGCTCCCGATGTGTCTGCGTCTCACTACGTGCACAAGCATGTTGACGTTTTACGCCCGCACCGACACAATCTAAATCATGTAAGGGTTGCGCTTCCATGGCTGACGCGGACTGAAAGGGATACAACTTTTCAGTAGGAAGACCGAGATACTCGATAGATTTTTCTCCCCACTCGGGAATCGAACTCGGGTTTTCTTTGAGAGACCGTGAAGCGCCTAACCACTACACGTCAGAGACTGAGAGAGCGAAAAACGGGTTGCAGGCTAGACCAGAGAGAGAGAGAGAGAGGGAGTGTGTGTGTGTGTGTGTGAGAGAGAGAGAGAGAGAGAGAGAGAGAGAGAGAGAGAGAGAGAGAGAGAGAGAGAGAGAGAGAGAGAGAGAGAGAGAGAGAGAGAGAGAGATGGCACACGGGTATATATTTTAGAAATTCTTATCGATTCAACATAATAGAATCCATCTTCACTGTGCCCTTAACTTTCATCATTTATTCGAACTTAGTTGCCAGACCAATATCTTTATCCATTCAAGTGCTTTGATTTTTAAACTGTATGAATGGCGATCGAGCTGATATCAGTGGTTTGAATCCCTGACAGGGCATTCTAAACCTTGGTCGTTTTGGGGAGTTTTTAAGTCTCCCTGCCTATTTGGCTCAGTCCTGCCTGAGGTGGACGTTAAATTTGGAAGCTCCGCCTCTTAAATAATCTTTTCATGCTAAAAGGGGCATTAAACCTGCAGAAAGTCGAAGGCACAATTTGAAATTAATTTGTTAACATACTTCATGAAATGACAACTTGATTTTTACCCATTCTTATTCATAGTACTACTTTGTTCATAGCGTGATGCTCATATCGCCATAGAGAGTTCATGCTGCTCCTATGTCTATGTCTCACTGTGGGGTCAAACTAGTGGTAGTGGGTGGTTCCAAATGTGGGTGGGGCTGAGAAATCAGGGTAGGTAGAGTTCAAAGGTAAGATTTCTTTGGTTCAGAGGACATTTCAGACAATATGTGTGAGTATGTTTCCTTCACACATTCACACGCAAACCCTCTCATATGACTTTATACAGTTGCGAGCGCAGTAAAACACTTACCAAAAAATAATCTATCACACATTCAACAGTAACTGGATTAGGCCTTGGGGTCGCAAAAAGCAAGGCATTCCTAAAACGTGGGCCCATGAGCGTATTTTGGTTACTGGGTCTCGGAGGAAGGTGTGTCAGGAACTCCCCCCCCCCCCCCCTTTTTGTCTTGGCTGGCAGAGAACGAGCCCTCTCTAACAACAGTTTCCGCGGGCTCTCGTTTGTTTCTTTTACCTTTTTTCAAGAAGAGTTTAATTAAGAAAGGACCGTGGGAACCGGCTCATCCTTTGCTGAGTTCTAAACACATTTGATTTGCTGTTTAGGTTACAATCGTTGTAACCGGTGACAACAGTGATTGGATGAACGAGCAAGCATGTGTGTTCACCGTATGCAACTAAAGGCGGAGGCGGAAGATTCTGAAACAGTTCTAACGGTTTCAACTGATTATCTCGTTTATCAGAAGAAACATTGATTTACGGAGGGAAAGAGTTAGGGGGGGGGGTGGAAGTAGGATTGGGTGGGGCTCAAGCCCTTTAGCCCTTCACTATGCCCCGCCACTGGGTCAAACATGTTGGTGTTTTACGCTCCCATCAACACAAAGGGGGCTTCAACCCTGCCTATCAAGGCCGACCTGCGGTTTGAGGGATATAGAACCCCAGCAGAAAGGCCGAGATATTCGGTAAAAATGTTCCACACACAGGAATCGAACTCTGGTTTTCTTCCTGAGATATCGAAACGCCTATAATAGTACGCTAAACCACAGACACCGGGCGTGTCAAGTTTGCTATCATCAGTCCACGCAGCTCTGAATACTTTCTAAACATTCTACACGGCCAGGTAACTGTGATATAACAAGAGTGTCCGCAGGCATGGCCGGTATACAGCCGATGATCCTGAAGCTCTGAACTCAGCCCCTCCCCCTCCACAAATCTTAAAAAAGAATGTTTTAAAAGCCAACAAAACTTAGCTATTTTTAGTTAGGGAGATGGTGATTAAAGATAAATTTGTATAAATACCAACAATCGTCAAAGATTTCAGACAGAAGTTCAAGTACTTTCAGTAATTTATTATTATAAAGATTATGACAATGTACAAATACATTAAATAGAGACATACTTTGATGGAATGCCAGATGGTCAACAAGCTGATCATGCGTCCAACTGAGCCACCCACTTCTGACTTTTCATCCGCGAGAAACATTTCGATGACTTAACACGTTCAGTCTTTAAAAATTCAAACAAAGAAATCCAGCAAAACAGCAACAACAACTCTTCTTGAGACAGAGGGGGTTTCAGTTGAGGATTGTTTATTGTCTGAAGTCTTCCACTTCCATACATACACTCTCACCAACAATCAAGGCACTTAATGCGTACAATGCGTGTATTGTGAAATATTTGACGTCGAAGTGAGGGCTCTCTATTAGCCTAGCTCTGTTGAAATCATGCCTGGTGGCAATGCAGGCGATCGCTGTTTAAATTTTGACTTGTTCCAACAAGAGAAGTACGTTTTATGTGAGGAATGGTGCAGTGGGTTTGACGTCCCTATACAACCAAACTGTCAGGATTTTTAGAAAGCGAAAAGCTAATGTTTGTCTTCAATAAAACAAGACAATGGGCAGACAACTTTGAACACTCACTAAACACCCCAAATCCACGAACCCTCAGCTCGAGATTTGAACCAGTGTCGTCCGCACCGCAGTCTTACTGGAGTACTATAGTAAATTAGCATTCATTTACAGGAACAGCCTGAATGACCTATTCTATTTTCCAAAAGGAATAAGACTAAAACCTAGGTACACAGTTCAGCTTTTACTAACAATATTATGTATAAAAGTAACACTTGGCTCTAGCTTTCTTTCTAATGTTGATCTTAAAAACATTCTCGACATGAACTTTGGTAAAAGGTGACAGAATGATATAACTTTCTTATTCTCATTCAGTCGGACCCAATTAATGGTCTTTGCGCTCAAGGTTCTACTTAACCCTGATACATTGGGTATTTGCCCAAACCCCCCCCCCCCTTTCCCCCAAATCTCCCTTTCCCTCTTGCTCTCTGGGCTCGTTTCACGTCTGCACTAACATCAGGTATTATAAACAAGAAAACAAAAGAGAGCACCGTCGCTAGGTGAAAGCAATAATTAATGGTAACAGATTTTTCTACACCAAGGAACAGACAAACATTTAAGTAGAACGCGGACTGGGGACCAGCAACAGAAGCAGATGGGCACCAACTAGTTAAGAATAATATGATGACCGTGTGACCAGGTTGGCACAACTTTGCATTTATCATACTATTTTCAAAGAAGTCACTTTGCAGTGCTGAACAGTCAAGAACAGGGCATGCTATGCGTCTATGTATTGAGGGACTAACAATGCCCAAAGAGCTGATTATGTTGCAAAAAGTAAGTAGCGTATACTTCGATCTTTACATTCATGCCATTCCTTTATATTTTATAAATGTTCATATTATATACATAAGAATAAACTATCAAGTCATCTATCAACCTCTGCAATCAAATCGTTTTCCTTGGACGACCACAAGAAATGATATGAATGCTTTGTTGCGCAGTTCTGTCTGACAGATGATGATGATGATGATGATGATGATGATGATGATGATGATGATGATGATGATGATGATGATGATGATGATGAAATATATATTTTTTTGAGAAATACAACAAGGTCTTAACTGTTTTAATACCTTCTTTATACAATGATGATGATGATGATGATGATGATGATGATGGCAGTGATTGTAGGGACT